CCAACGTGACGATTTATCTGCGAAATACATCAAAACACCAGCCAGTCTCGCCAATAATTTCAGCAGCCAATGGTCTTCCGGCTCGTCTGCATCAAAACCAAGAAGCAAGCTTACTCAAGCTTTGATGGATTCACGCGACAAGCCCGCTAAGAGCGTTGACGTTTTTGTTGACTCTACCTCGTCATCCGAGACACAACTCAACATGTCGCAACCGGAAGAGGATGACAACGACGACACCATCAACCTTGACGAACCGCGATCACAGTCCGGGAAGTACTGGAAGGCGGAGTACGACAATTACCGGAACAAGACCACCTGGGAGATTAAGAAGTTGATTCAGTATCGCTCGGCGGCGAAAACATACGCTAAGAAGAAGGATGAGGAGGCTTCTCGGTTGGCCGAGAAGCTGAGAGAGGAGGAGATCAAGGTCGCGGAGATGGAACGCCATGTCACCCATCTGGCCTCAACCATGGTCGGAGAGAGCAATAATACGGACAAGGAGAAATTAGTGCAGGAACTCACCAAGCAAACCGCATTAGCGTTGCAGTACAAACATCGAGTCAACTCACTGCGGAAAACATTGGAACGTCATGGAGTCGTGGGGCAGGAGACTAGTGAGGTAGCTGATACTTCGGGGATCACCAGTCCTTCTGAGCCGAAGACCGATAGCGTCCACAAGGTCCAGCATGCTCTGGATCAAGCGAACGCCAAGATCGAGGAAATGAAGCGTCAGCAAGAAGAGTTCAATAAGCTGAAGGATTTGGCGCGCATCTCGGAGCAGAAGGCTTCGGAGTTGCAGAAGGAGAACGCGTCACTCAAGCAGACGCTCGCCCGTGTGAAGCAGGAGATGAGCAAATACGAGGGGCGTCGCAAAGAGAAGGAAGCGAAATTGAAGCAGCGCGAAGTCAAACTGGAATCGCGAATTCAGGAATATCGAGACCGCTTGAAGTCAATTTCTCAACAGCACCGCCAACACGAGGAGAGCCTCAAAGCGTCTTTCAGTGAGGAGCGCCGCCGGATGCAGGAGCAGGTTGATCAGCTCAGAATCAAGCTCACAGCCATCGAACGTCTACCACAGCTGCAAGGCCGCGCTCGTCGCTCTGAAAGTCCTCGAAAAGACCACACTGGGGTTCACGTTTACGATTTCGGCGTGCAAGCTAGCCCCGGAAAAGAACCGCTGGAGGGGACAATCGAGCTCGACGAGCCAGCAAGCCCGAGCCCGCGAGCCAAAGAGCGACGCTCATACCCGTCTTCAAGGTATACAGCAGGCGATCTCGACCTGAAACGCGCCATGAGAGCGATGGGGATTAGCGACGAAGACCAACTGGCATTTCTAGGAGGGGAGACTCTCCCTGCCCCCGGCTCCCTCTATCACCACGGCGATGAAGCCGCCGTCCCTCCATCCTCACCTCCAGAGTACCCGTCTGTCGAGCCTGCACGCTCACGCCCAAAGCACAAGTACGACACCAACAGCTACCGGAGCACCCATCCACTCCCCAGCAAATCTACCATCACCTCTCTCGCCCACCATCTCGCCCAAAATCTTGATGACAGCCATCATATCCGCACCACTACCACCACCAACGACCGTCTCCGCTCCCACCGCCCCTCCAAATACGGCCTCGATGCCGTCTCCGGCGTATCAGAATCACACTCATATCCCCTCGACCGCACCTCCAAACGCAAACCCAGCCAAGCCGCCGTGCAAAGGGACTCCATCCCGCTCGACCGCAAGCTCTCGGCCCAGGCGCGCCTCAAGCAGCGCAAGGATGAAACCCGCAAACCCAAAGAGCAAGGCAAAGAGAATATCCGAACGTACAACAACCCAACGTTGTCGGTACTCGAAGCCTAGAACGAGAACCATCATAACATCATAATGACGAACCTCATAACCTGCCACGCAGCCAGCACCCTTTCTTTTTTTCCGTCGATCGTGGCCGGATACCAGCACGAGATCTAAAACCTTTAACTCCCATTTGTTCCGTCCTTCTTACTTCCTTTTCCTTTTCTGTTCTAATCTTCTATGTTTCGATCTGGTTCACTCGGGATAGAGGAAAATATACCATTGTCAAGGGCGCTACCCGGGGGATTCGGTTTAGAGATCACATTAGCTTTGTTCGCTGCTACAGCTTGTCCTGTCTTGTCTTGTCTTAACTTGTCATGTGCTTTTCGCTCTCGTCTCTTCCTTTCTACCATCCCGTGTTCTGTTTTTGGTCACCCACGGCATTCTTTTTCCCATGTGTTTGTTGTTACGTTACAAGAGGGACTCGCTTGGAGGGCTACATAACAATATGTAGCTCCGCCTGTCCCAACTGACTGTATGTGAGATGTAATCTTTGGTTTCTTAGTCTTTCTTTCGGCTGGGTTGACTCTTACCCACACCCTCCTATGCCTTGTCTCTTCTATTGACATCACTATACCCCGAATCAAACAATCAAGCACTCACTGTTGATAACTTACATATCAACAACTATTGTCAACATCATCTCCACGTATTAGTGTCTTATCAACTTGCATGACTAAACTCGAGAGTACTCCTCCCATCCATCTTTAATGTTGGGTTGCCAAAGCGAGTTATATACCGGTCCGGTCATCCACCTTTCCAAAAACTGTAGCGTCTATCTAATTTATTGATCTATCCACTCATCCCTCGCATCTATCTACAAATCGCAAGAAGATGATCTGAATGTTTACTTCGAGCCTTGCTTGCCATCACTAAACGACACAACAGCCCACTTGCCGCTCCAGGCCCATTTGCGAGCTTCGGCGCCGCCGCCGTCAGGCAGAGCGCGGAGCTTCTCGTCTACGCCGGCAGGGAGACCGACCACGACGTCGGCCTTGCAGGTCCGGAAGGCCATGACGCGGATGCCGGAGTCGGGGCGGCCGAGGGGCCCAATGGCGGTGGTGAAGGGGGTGGTTGGGTCCCAGGTGGACTTTAGAGGGATGTTAGGTTTACTTGATGCTCTTATTTGTCTGAAAGGAGGGGGGACAGAAACTCACGTCATTGGTCAACTTGCGGTAGTTGAGATCACCCTTAAAGAGAACGAGTTCACTCTGCTTGAGATCCTCGTAGAGATCCGGGGCGAGGTACGGCATACGCCAGTATCCGCCGGGGAGGGTCCAGAAGGCGTGGGGGCGGATGATGAGCTTGCCCTCGGCGTGGAGGTGGCTCCAGTGGTCGAACAAGAAAGTCACCTCGGAGAGTTCCTTCTGGGACAGCGGGTCGTGCGTGCGGCCGGACTCGTCGGCGGCGGTGAAGAAGCCCTGGGCGTCGGCGAGGGCGTTGATGAGGGCCATGAAGTCCGGCGGGGTGACGTCGGATACGAACCACGGGATCACCTTCGGGTGGAGGACGACGGTCGTGGCCAGCCCCGCGGAGAGCAGATAGCCGGCGAGGATGAGGTCGACGAACAGCTCGAAGCCGGAGTTGTCGAGGACAATGTCGACGCGCCGCTCGTGGTGCTTGCGCTCGCGCCGGGCCCGCTGCAGCACGTCGAAGGCGGCGTCGAGGTCGTTGACGAGGATGTTCTCCTCGGCGGCCTTGCGGGCCTTGGAGCCCTGCAGCTTCTGGATGTCCTCGTAAGTGAGCGAGGTCAGGAGGGACAGGTCGGTGGCGTTGCCCCACAGGCAGATCTCGCACATCTCCGAGAAGAGCACCCGCTCCGCCTGCTCGATCTGCTCCGCGCTGCGGCCCTCGTTGCCGCCCTTCTCGGCTTCCGTGGCCAGCTCCTTGTATCGGGCCGCCAGTTCGAGAACAGCAGGACGGGATGACTTGAAGGTCGAGAGCTTCTGCCGGGCGAACACGTCATAGCCCTTCCAGTGTTTGGAGAGCGAGAAAAGGGTGCTCAACCGTCTGTCTGATTATGTCGTCAGCGCCAATTGCACAAGCCCCCGAGCTCAATTTGTCACGCACAGAGGTAGCATTCTGAGTATAGCCACGAGACATCGTGCCACGCCGGGTTCCCTCGTTCTTCGAGCTCCTTGTTGTAGTCTGCGATATCGGGTTGGCCGTCGTCGGGAAGGGGGCTGTCGACGGCATGGCCATGTTAGATGGTTTGGCACCGGCGTTGTACAGGTCAAAGTCTCACGTCAATTGTCTGTTATGCTGCAGCTCATACTTGAATGCTGCGAGCTTCTCGGTGATTTCCTTTCCTTCCCGACGCTTCTCCTCATCGGTCGTCTCGCTAACGGTGCGGTGCAGGTCATCAATGGCGCCTGTCTGCGTTATATCGTTGTCGTCAGCGTTACATGGCAGTGATCTATCAGGGACAGACGTACCAGGATGACCGGCCAGCGCTCACGAGCCGAGACGGAGGCAAAGCTAGACTGATCGGAAGTGAGATACTGCGCTGGTGGAGAGGGAAAGGCGGGGTCAGTCAAATACTGGTTGGTTTCAGAGAATCAGATGAGGGACTTACGGGTTTTTGGGTCGTACTCCATTGTGTAATATTGGTAGAAGAAAAACGCAGATTCTAAATAAACAAAAGAAAGAAGAAGAAGAAGAAGAAGAAGAAGAAGAAGAAGAGATGGTGTCTGAAGAAAGGAAGAATGATGGAGGGGAAGGGAAGCCCGCGACTTGGTTGAACCTTGAACCTTAAGAATCGCGGGGTTGCCGCGCTCGGATATCCCTCCGCCCCGCAGCCAAACCATTATCAATCAGTCAGTCGGTCAGTCAGTCATTCTCTAATTCAATTGCGCTGCGGTCTATTCGTCTGTCTAGAAGGAAAGAGAGGGACATTTGCTATAACCATCAACCATCCAAAGCAAAGCAATGAAACAACAAACAAGCACAATGCACATGCAGATAAAAGGCAATTCCGCACGACAGCCGCCAATCCAACACCGCTCAGACCTGCCTGCACATGCCGGGCAAGAAGCGAAATAGCAATGAAGATGAGAAAGAATCAAGAATAAAAAATAAAGAAGAGCACGAAAAGATAGAAGAGAGAAAAAGAAAACACCCCTCAGATCCAGAACGATAGATTTAATCCGCTATGCAAAACAAAATGGTCCTCAAGGTCGTCATCAATCAAAAATCATTCAATAGATACATCGCCCTCGTACTGTGGGTCCTGAGGCAATCCACTCGAATACTCGTCTATGTATTCGGAACTTCGCCTCCAAGCCGCGAGGCTTTCCCTGCGTTCATCATTCCAAGTCAGAATGGGGCTCACATCATAGACATGAGGGAGCTTTGTGCGTAGGCCTGCGGAGCGTTTTAGCGTCTGTGTATTTGTCTTTGTTGGGGCCAGCAGGACTTACCATCGGCTTGATGTCAGGGTGGGGAACTGCCTCGAAGACCTGGTACTCAAGCTTGAGCTCAGGCCCAATCTTGATGAAAGCGCCCTTGTTCTCGGTGGAATCGCAGTACTTGGGCGCCGAGAACACCGTGATGCAGCGACCGTCATGCTCAACCTCGTAACCCTCCATGCGAACCTCGTGCGATCGGATGATCGCCTCCAGTCCGTTCTTCTCACAGAAGCGCTTGGTGACGTCGGGTCCGAATTGAAGACCAACACCGCGCTTGCTGGGTCCACGACCAGGTTGGGTCTGCGGGTCGGTCCAGAGCATCTCCATCATCAACCCCTGCTGGCCCGGCTGGCGCTGGTTGTGGCGGTTCAACTTGCGGATATCATCGAGGGTAGTGTTGTCGTCGGAGAAGAGACCACCGTGGAGAACAAGGTACTTGTTACCGATCAACGTGGCCAAGGGCAGAGCGGAGAAGGACTCCGAGAAGACCTTGAAGGTGGTCTCGTTGTACTTAGCCTTGCACTCGCCCTCAAAACCGTACACCTTATTCATGTCGTCCGTCTCGTGGTTGCCACGGTTCAAGAAGATGCGGTTGGGTCTCAGCCACTTGTACGCGTAGAGAAGCAGAGCAATCTCAGTCGACCACGATCCCCGATCCACAAAGTCACCGTTGAAGAGATAAGCATTCGTCTCGCTCGGGTAGCCGTTCAATCGGAAGATCTCAAGCAGGTCGAAGTATTGTCCTGTCCCACAATCAGTCTTCACCAGAAAACCAGAAAACAACAGCGCGCTAGGTCCCTACCGTGCGTATCACCACAGACCGTCAAGCGGGTGCCCTCCTCGACGCCGACCTCCACCATCGTCGGCTCAGCGTAGACGATGTCCTTCACGGCCTTGATTATTTGGAAGACGTACTTGCGGTGAATCTTCTTGCCGTTCTTGAACCGCTCGATCATATCGTCGATGAACTCCTGGGTCATCTCGTTCTTCTCCAACCGCACGCCATCGTAGCTAGCATCCACAGCAATCGAGTCGATGTCCAGGCTCTCGAAAGCCGAGGGCGGGTCGCTGACTTCGATGGCCTTCTCGAACTCCAGCCGGCGGACCAGCTTCTCACATTCGGCGAGCTTCAGCTTCGCATCGCGGTTTCCGGGATCCCGCTTAACCACCGCCCTGAAGTCCTTGAGGGCTTCCTTGTAGTGCAGAATGGCGCTGTTCGCAAGGGCTCGTCTCCAGTATGCCTAAGTGATGTGACGTTGATCAGGATATATAGACACGCGCAGGCGCTTTAACACATTCAGGACGCTGAACAAACCTTGATGAAGTTGGGGTCGAGCTCCAGTGCCTTGGTGGCATCTGCAATCGCAAATCCGTACGCTTCAAGCTTGATATGCGCCTAGATCTCCCGAACGCCACCCAGCCAAAGTATCAGTATACAGGAAACCGCCACATTAGGGAGGGAGATCGGGGAGGAACTGGCGAGACTGCCGGGGACAGCAGCGCGACATACCTGAGCTCTGTTGCTGAAGAAGGTGGGTTCCTTGTCGTACTTCTCTATCGCCTGTGTGTAGAAGTCGATGGCGGCGGGCCATTCATGTTGCGCGAACGCCTTGTTCCCCTGCGCCTTCAGCGCAGTGGCAGCCTCAAGATCGGAGGACGCCATCGGAAGGATAATAAGGTGTTGATAAAGTGAGAGGAGAGTGTGTATAGCAAGTGGCCTGGTAAAAATGAGGTGGATGGCAAGGGGGAGGTTTTCGGCAGGTGAGCACGCGGGAACAAATTAATTGTAAGGGAAGAGGCGGGGAGAATTGAAGGGAGCGAGAGAGAACTAGAGAGGCGACGATGATGATGATGCAGTGAGCCCGACACCAAAGGGGACAGTAATGAGTCACGGTCAGTGCCCAAATAGATAATAATGTAAGAGAATGAAATAAGACCAGGAGCAATCTCAACTGATAAAAGATCTTTGATCTCTGGCAAAGCTGTGAACAGCCAGTCAATCAATCAATCAATCAGCCGCCATGAAGCACTTCCGAGGATTTATTTGATGTCCGCCCGTTTTCTTCGGTCTTGGCAACCCTCCCGGTCCGATTCGAGAACCTGCGACCACCACCGGGCCTTTTACTCAACCTTGAATTCCTCCATTATCGCCATTGATTCTGCTCTCTCAATCCTATTGTCCCCTCTCCAGCAAAGCATCCAACCCTGTCGCGGCTCCCTCCACAGCGTACCAGCCTTCGATCCAGCCCAGCATTCCACCCTCGCAACAAAGAAACAAAAAAACACACATAAAGGGCACGCACCTCTGGCCGGAGTCCAGCTCAGCGACACTCCGTTGACCTCCTCAACCTCCAAACCAACCAGCCAACCAACCGCATAACTTTCATCCCAAGGGAAAATGTCCTACTACGTCGCGCCCAGCCAGCAGCGCACTCTCCGCGCTTGCATGGTCTGCTCTCTCGTCCAACTCCACAGCGTGAGTCGAAAACCCAACTCCCCAAACCAGCTTTCTCTTTCACTACCACAACCCAATCCAATCCATACTGCCTCCCACACCATAACCTCACACATGACCCTCATCCAGAAGCTAACATAATATCCTTTTGCCACCGCAATGCAGAAATTCATGCGCGAAGGCTGCCCCAACTGCGACAACGTCCTCGGCCTCCGCGGCAACAACGACGCCATCCAAGAATGCACATCCCAGGTCTTCGAGGGCCTGCTGACACTCCGGGACCCCACGACCAGCTGGGTGGCTCGGTGGCAGCGGCTGGATAGCTATGTCCCCGGGACATACGCTGTCAAGGTGACCGGTTCGGTGAGTTTTTTTTTTTCCGGCGCGCATGGGCCTGGCCCATACCACCGATGCCGTCCATGGACTAAACATTTCGCAGCTTCCGGATGAGATTATTTCCAGCTTGGAGGACTCGGGGATCAAGTATATTCCGTATGTTGAGCCATACAGTCCCTCCATCTTGTGTGTTCTGGGACACGTCCTGGCAGCAGCAGAAACAGAAGAAGAAGCTTACTGACTGGTTTTATTTATAGGAGGGATGGTAGTACTGGTGAAGAGGAGGCGTAGGAACGGGGCCACTCGTTTCGATATCTGCTGAATGACGGAGGCCGCACGGCCTAGAAATTCTGGGTGGAAGGTGGCTTTCTTCTTTTTTTCTTGTTCCTTGCGCGGATGCACAACACTGGAGTTTTGGTTAGGTTGTTTTCTCGTACTATATGCGATTCCGGGAAACATGGCTGCTTGCCCCTTGGTTTTCTTTTTACTGCGCCGGGGTTGCTCGTCTTTTCTTATTTTTCCAAAGACGAGCTTTCAGAAAGGTTCAGAAGATCAGCCCCAAACAATGCTCGATACCCGATTAGATGAATGTTCAATGTTGCCTTCCTGATGGCATCCAATTGCTATTTCTCGATGCTAACATAAATACAAGGCATCAACTCATCATACTCATACGCTGCTGGATTTGGCTCAAGTAGAACGCAAGAAATGAACCCAATCAATTGCCGACCCGCCTGATGTACCACTGAACGCCAGATTTCAATCACAAATGTCCCAGTTAAAGAAGAAATGTTGGTAGCCAATCAAGCCGCTTTACAGCTGCTTGATGATCTTCTCAACGCTCTCCAAGAGGATATCAGCTGCACACAATGTTAGCCTCCGGCCATCTTACTCCTGTCAGGTGCTACCGATTGACTTACCATGGTGCTTCTGGAAGATCAACATTGGCCTCAGGCGAACGGCGCTCTGGCCGCTTCCTCCAATGTTGACGCCGACGTTCTTGGCCTTGGCCAGGAATTCATCACGCTTGGGAGAGTCCCAGGCAATGAAGGTACCCTGGCCCTTGCCACGGAGGTTCTGCAAGTGCTCGGGGTACTGCTTAGCAAGACGCTCGAGACCGGCGAACAGGTAGTCACCAGTGATCGCAGTGTTCTCCACCAGGTTCAGGCGCTCAATCTCCTCGGTGATACCGCGGAAGATGAGGGCACGGGCCGGGTCACCCATCCAGGTGTTGAACTGACGGTAAGGCTTGTTGGGGCGCAGAGCGGGGTTTCCGTAGTAGTATCCGGCAGTTTGGGCCTTCTTGGAGAAAGTCACAATATCGGGGGGAGTCGCCAGGTTCCAGTGGTCATGGGCCCAGAACTTTCCAGTAGCGCCCACGCCGGTCTGCACCTCATCAACGATGAACAGGACATTGTGGCGCTTGGTGATGTCGCGGAGACCCTGGAAGAAGGCAGGAGAGGCGTGGTTGTCACCACCCTCCGACTGGATAGGCTCAACCACAACAGCTGCCACAGGGTTGTGGAACTCCTTAATCAGGCGCTCAACCTCCTGCAAGCAGCGCTGCTCCTCCTGGGCATTCTCCGCGGCATGCTCCTCTAAGGGGTACTTGAGCGAGGGGAAGGGAGCCTGCGGCCAGTCAAAGGCAGGAATATCAAGCTTGTGGATAGGCTTGCTGCGGGTAGTAGACAGACTACCGAAGAGACGGCCGTGGAAGGCAGACTTGAAGGACATGATGGACAGCTGAGGGGACCCCGGGGACTGGTTGTTCATGGTAGTCTGCAGCTCCTCCTCGGTGAACTCCTTCTCGGCACCACCACGCTCGCGCTGGCGGTAGTACATGAAAGCCGCCTTGTAAGCAGTCTCGTTGGCATCGGAACCAGCCAAGGCAGTGAAGACCTGATTGAGACCCTTGGGAGCAACCTTGAGAATGCCCGTGTTCAAGATGTCGGCCCAGTCGTGAGAGGGAAAGTTACCCAGTGCGGGTCTGTTGATCAAGGCATTGACCATCTCGGGAGATTCGGCCACTTTGCGGAGGTGAGGGTTGTTGTAACCAACAGGGATGGAGGCAATCTGGGCGTAGCTGTCGCCGAGAACCGCGTTAGATGCGAATCAATATATTGGTGGTAGGTTAAGGATCAAAGGAAGTATGGTAGCTTACACATCAAGGAGAAGGTTTCCGTCCGTATCGGCGATGCTGCGGTCGATAATTAGCTACTAACTCCTGATTCAAAGCGATAACCTGGAGGGGCTCAAAAGGCATACTAGTTTCCAGTAGACTTGTAGTAGTCAGCCAGCATGTTCAAGCTGCGCACGTCAAAGACCTGATCCAGCTTCTGAGCAGCAGCCTTGTTGTTGGGGCCGGGAATGGCGGTGGCCAACTTGGGAGCCGTGGGCTCATCGGGGAAGAATGGCTTCTCAGCAGCCCGCAAGTGGGCAGTGGTGCTGAGGGGGCGGACTGCCGAAAGGCGAGTCGCCGTGCGAAGCTTGAGGCTGGAGCGGAAGACAGCTGCCATTGTGAATATACAGGGAGATTGTTTGGTGGGTGGTTTGGGTAGAAGAGTAGAATAGTTATCCCTTGTGCCAGGCACAACCAGGACAAAGAAGCGGAGTGGAGAGGGATGATAACGCGATGACGACAGATAAGGGATTGAGGGGAGAGATAGGATAGATCGCCCAACCAGCCTAATAGTCGACAATCAGCAGAAAAGATTGAAGATGATGCTGCAATAGACAGTCAAGAAGATGATTGACACTTGGAAATCAAGAACAAAAACTCCCCTCCAAAATTTGGCGGCGCGGCTGGTTAAATAGCAGACGGCGGTGCGGAGAGAGAAGCAGCTCATGCGGAAGCTGCCCCGCGCCAGAGAGCTCTCCTCGGCGATTTGCACCAATCACCACCCCGGATATGCCCGTGCTCGGCGATCCAGCAGAGGCGCCGATAAAATGGGACTCACAATCAGTCCTGATCACTCGACTATTAGTAGCATCAATTATCCATTTCCTCGTCATTCGGTCCGATTGCTGTCCGGACTGTGTTCCTCCCGGAACGACTTTCCCTTTGCAATAGGGCTTCACGATTGCAGCGGTGAGAAACAGCAGCTGAGCCCACGATGTGGAAGTTGGAGACAGCTTCCAGTTCCCCAGATCATTCTTATCGATCGGCTTGGCAGGCAAGATAAGGAACTGAATATTCCTTCACAATTGAAGCAAGCATCGGGTTCGACGAGTATGCGGGCTTCTATCACCAAATATTTCCGACATATACGACCCCATTGACATGGGCTGTCATGGACTTTCAGCTTTTCCAAAACGGAGAAACTGTTCAGCTTATTGTTTTCAACCACGAACGTCTGCCTTCTTTTCAGCACCCCTGCGGTCACAATCAATGACCACAACACTTCCGTTTCGCATCACCACCCGCACGATCACAGACCTCTCCGAGCCAACCACAACACCAACTCCTGAAAGCGAGCACTTCTTCCGTTATACGAGTGGACGATGGCTCTGGGATGAAGAACAGCAGCTCCGGGACAGGTATAAGGTCTTTGATGTTGCTGCACTCCAAAGCCTCGCGGCTAACGCCGTTCGATCAGACAGCTGCCTCTCCATAACGAAGTTGGCCGAAGGAGGATATAATAAGGTCTTCCGTTTGATCATGAAAGATGGCAAGAAAGTGCTTGCCCGGATACCAAACCCAACTGCCGGCCCAGCGTTCTATACAACTGCATCCGAAGTTGCTACCATGGAGCTTGTAAGTTCACCTTAAAGCCAAGTTAACCGCAAGGGCGGCCAGTTCATGCCTGATCCCTTGGGCCGAGATTTCCTTCAAATTCCCGTGCCTCGAGTCCTTGATTGGAATGCCACGTCAAAGAACGCCGTTGGCTCGGAATATATCATTATGGAAGAAGCATCTGGCACACAGCTTGGAGTCATCTGAGATCAGCTGAATCCGGATAAAAAACTCTCCATCATGAGGGAGATAGTGAACGTCGAGTCAAAGATGCTTGCGGTGTCGTTTTCTCAATAAGTGAATCCGTTTAAATGATAAATGCGTGTGTGGAATCTTATCATCGCGTCAGCTTTGGTAGTATATATTTCGCGAGCGAGGCAGTGGAAAGCGCGGTTCCAGCGATGCTCACCAACGCCGCTTCCTCCGAACTGAAAGAGAGAGTGCGCAAGAGATTCAGTATTGGGCCTACCGTCGACCGAAGCTTTTGGAAGAAGGAACGCTCGTCGATGCAGATCCCGCGGGGTCCTTGTAAGCATTCTCAGATCACCGTTTCAAATTTTTTCTTGTACTAATTGCTCTCAGGGCGCACGCCCCGAGAATATGCGCTAAGTGTCGGTCGGCGTGAACGGGCGTGGATCAAACGGTTTGCCATCTCGAAACCATCAAGCGAAGCTACTCTCGTTTCCCCAGCCCAAAATAGTCCACAGGCACATCTGCAGCTGTTGGAGAAGTATCTCCAAGTGGCTCCTGCTCTGATGGACATTGACCCCGTTCTCACTCGCCCTACGTTATGGCACGGAGACCTTCATTCATCGAATCTATCTGTTGATGATGGCCGTATCACGGCTGTCATCGATTGACAAGGCTCGTGGGCCGGGCCGCTCCTTCTTCAATCCCAACCCTCCCCGATCGTGGACTACCCAGGCAGTATTCTACTCCAGCGTCCCGGCAATTTCGACGATCTGGACCCAGAGCAGCAAGCGGAGATCAAGCAAAAAATCTTCAAATCGACGCTATACCAGCTCTATCTTCTGGAGACGAAAGAGCGGAACCCTCTTCTTGCCCAAGCATTCCATCTAGACCATGGGAAGACAAGGCGTCTACCGGTCGAATTGGCCGGAAACACATGGGATGATGACATAGTCTCTTTCCGTGAGGCACTCATCAACGTTGAAAGGTAGCTATCTCATCACTTCAGTCCCACCTTCCTTTTTTTGAGGTTATCTGATCTTTTATCTCCAGACATTGGCAAGAACTTGGCATTCAAGGCGGATGTCCCTATCATTTCATGCAAGATGAACTACATAGCCACGCCGTCGATGCCGAGGGCTGGAATGAGGTCCAGGAGTTCTTCGACCGTATAGAAGGTCTTGTGAAACGAGATGGCTGGATATCTCCCGATACGTTTGACGCTGCCTTCAACTTCTTTTCCGAACTGCGAGAACGTGGCCTGAAGCATATGAAGGGGCGAGAAAAGAGAGCTTTTGACAGACAGACTCGTTGGGCGAGAAAACAGGGTGGGTGATTTGAATACCGAGGCCTACGGGGGGACGTCACTAGGCTAGTATCCGACGGGATGATGGCCTTGACCACGCTTCGAAGACGCTGTCCTACCGCCAATTTGACCAAGCAGTAATCTCCAGTTAGATAAGAGATGGCAGTGCGTCGGGCTGAAAATAAATAGTCAGTAGTCAGGAGGAATCAGACTTCGAAGGGCAATTACATAGCAGTGGTGTATCAGAGCACGAAACTCTGAAGAATCAAGCTAGCTGGAGGATACAGTGATTCACAGGCCTGCTGTTTAGGGAGAAGATGGAAACCCCTGGAGTACGGAGGATTAATCTATCGTATCGGAGTCCACGAGGAAGTCTAGATTGTTCTTTCCTTGACAGCCATCTACTTAAGTTTCACACGTGCATACACCCCTGCTAGTATGTGCTAGACTGCGATACCAAGACCGGGCTTTAATACAACAGGATTGTCGACTACTCGACGTTCCTGTGACACGCGACAGTGAAGGATCGGAGGGAAGAGCGACGCGGAGGTTCGAGAAGCAGGGTTGCTAAGCGAAACACGTAAGCACAGTTGGTGCCTGCGTTAGTATGCCCGCATTTAGTGAGGCCTGCATGGGTTCATGTAACTAGCCCGAAGAAGGTAGTCTACGCGATGCCGGCCCGGTCAGGCCAATCTGGTATCCAAGCTGAAGTCGACTCAGAGTGGGGAGTGCGGGATCCGATTGCGGAGCTGCTCCATCGACCCACTTCTAGTACTTCGCCAGCTGCAAGTAATTTGAATAGACATCGCTCAATTTGAGATTGGAGTCGCTTCGTCACTGCGAGCGCACAATATGGGTTTTATAGATAAAGTTACACACAGAATGTAGATATAAGTTCTTGTATACAAAAAGAAAAAGAATGAATCTTGCCAGAAGTACACAGCGCTGTGCGTAGACGTGATGCGTACATGTGTTGAACACGATTACCATCGTTAAGCATTATCATCGTGATGACGAAAGTCTGTTGTATGAAGACATGATAAGAATATTAATCGAATCGAAGGAAGAACTAGAAAAAGTTCTTATCGTCGGTCGTCGACCGGTCAGTCGTCGACCGTTCGGTGTTCGAGTTTAAGTCTCGAGTAAGGGAGGCAGTAGATTTGTCGCTACCAGGCGACGTGTAGACTACACCGTGGTTCTTCAATTCCACATGATGTGTAGGTGTTGCAACCCGCATATGGTTCGAGATTGACGAGGGCTGATTGCTGTCGGCATGCCCGGGCTTCTTGATCTCAGACCATGTCTCCATCTCCACCGTGCGCAGAACCTCGAACCGATCGACATTGGTGTCGCCTTGATAGCCATATTGCCGATCTTCAATCCTTGATTCTTTGGTAGGCCCACTCGAGGACCACCCCTTTCGTGGAAGGCTCTTGGGGCCATAAGACGAGGCATAGCGGCGACTGGACTGGAGAAGACGGGGCAGAAAGAAGGTGACAAGGGGCCTCAACGCAGGAGCAGAAGCACAGATCTAAAACGGGTCAGACGGAATTGAATCAGTCACGAGGAGGTGATAGCATACTAAACCCATGCTGATCTCTATTGAAGCAGCGAGAAGGACAGGCCAGCCCACCCAAGTAACATCATATGAAGCCACCATGCTCTTCCAAACGTAGACTGTCCGGATGGAGCCAGCAACATTAACCACGATTCCCAATCCAAAGATGGAGATAACAGCAACTCGCTGTCGAGTAGGCATCTTCAAACTCCAGATCAATGGCATTGGGAGCACAGTGGTGAGGAAATCAGTGAAAATGTTCACGACACTGGCTGAGAACACAGCAGCACCGTCGTTGAGGCAATGGAAGGGGTATGTGGGTGCCACTTCCCAGTATGCACGTATTGGCCTAATTGATCAGTACGAATTCACGGCAAGATGCGCTTGTGATAAGAGCGGTTTAGGAGGGAAACTCACGAGCATTGGAAGACGGAGATGAACAGAAACAGAAGACAGCATATTGCCACGATGACCATGCCGATGATCAGCACAATGTTGTAAGAGGAATATAAACCTTTGCTCCCGGCTCCAAGCAAACGCTTGCAGAACCACAACAAAGAAAGCTTTGTGATACTGGACGATAAGGAGAAAAGCATTTGGAACGCGAGGTTGAGCTTGTTGACTGTTGGCAACCAAGAGGGTGGAATATCCCACATGTGCCGAGTCCAACCGTAGTTTTCAGTTGCTATAGATGTTACAGCGCACATTCCAATTGCGAAAGCCTGGCGCACAATTGTTAGCGACTAGGTCTTGGGAGTTCTGCAACCTGGTACTCACAAGGGCCCAAATGATGAGGATATCATCGAAACCAAAAGTGCACGTTATTCTCAAACGCGTATAGAGGCGGAGGCAGGTCACAACGAATGCGACGCTAAGGAGGACAACGCTGACGATAAGCACATAGTTTCCACGAGTCACAGGGTCGACATAATTAGGCGTGGGCCATGTCGCCAGGACACTGGCGGGTGGAATTCGCATGTTAAGACGAGGTGATTCGGATGATGGTTCGAGCAGGATTCAGTTGCTGAATTGCTTTGATGGAGCGAAGGGTTGTTCAAGCACGCGGTCGTTCAGTTAGAATTCAAGCACAACCACCAGCAACCCCGGACAGATAGTTGCTGATCACATTGGCCATAATCACGATCTGATATCACGGAAAAGGTAACGTGGTGCAAAGAACTATCGCAATGGCGGACTGAGTACGAGTCACTGACGCCACTTGCTGGTTGACAGCTTCGATGAGGGGGGCGACCGGGGATGTAATATAGCCAGGAATGAGGTACCCACTCCCAGCTTTTGAAATGCCGTCGGTTCAGGTCCTGGTTGGTCCCTTTCTCCAACCATGAATTGCCCGTAGCCAGCCCACCTTGACATTTTGACTTTGGCTGGGGCAACTAATTTCAGATCGATCCCAGAAGAGCTAAGAAACAAGTCAAGGTCCTCCAATGAAGCCAGTGGGTCTGACTCCACAATGGGGTAGTATCGGCCAGACAATGGCGAGGAGGGGGACCACTAGGAGAGAGAATCGCCGGGGGTTTCACGGGGTGCACAGGACAGCAACAGGCAGATCCATTGAACCGTCGTTCATATTCTGCTCCACATGCCGGCGGAATCGATCTAATGCTTGTAGCAAATGAGCCATTAATCACCGGCCCAAGTCTAGATGGCCAGCTTGAACCAGGGTGCCAAAGTCTATTCACCCATAGTCAAGAACTGACCTGAAATTTGCGGATTTGCGGGCAGAGAGTCATTTGCTGGCTGTTCAAAGCGGTTCTCCAACGAGAATCCGTCAGCCTCCAACTAGAGTAAGTAGGTGGTTTGAAAATATGGTCGAGGGCAATTCTCAGGAGACAACCTGGTGGATGTGAAATCCGATGTGATGGAGGCGATGGAGGAGATAGAGGAGGAAGGGAAGGAATAGTGCTCCACACAATCCATAATCCACATTGAAGATGAGCTCGTGGTGTCTCCTCACTTAAGCGGGAATTAGTGGAAGTTACTACTCATAGGTAGAGGGGGAGGTGGAGTGACTTCGGGAGGGAGGGAGAATGGCCAAGTCTGGTGGCGCTCGAGACAGATTCCGGATGGGGAAAGGTACGGCAAAAAGGGTTGCCCCGCGGCATGCATACAACAACAATCTCCTCGGTACAGTACCTTCACTAACTACTACCCAGTCCTACTACCGAGTATCTACTTAGTACTCACTGTACACGTGCTTCCTGCTGCTGACGTTGCATCTGCCATCGGCAATTGTGCTACCATCCTCATGGCATGCACTTACTCGTTCCTGCATCCTGCATCCCACTATGCAGAAAAAACCTTGTCATCCCATTGATTCTGTCAAGTCTACTCCCCACATAACATGGTTCTCATTCCAGCTGAGAGAAGATCGTTCCCCCTGAAATTGCCAATTGAATAGTACGAAAGAAGACTTCGAAACTAGACTTGGCACTGAACAGGTGCGAACGCAGCACTGATCCTTCTACAACAAGGTCAAACATATACTACCCGAGTAGTATGAGTAGAGACTTGCAGACAAACGCAGCGACAGTACGAACTCCTCATGAGATCCACCCTGCCTGAAGGGGCTAAAGATGGGATTCTAAAACGGGTTACCGATCAGAGCACAAGTGGAGCGCATTACTCCATCAAATACTCGGCTGTGACAATCATGGGCCGCAGCCTGCTTTAAAGTTTTTAACCTCAATGATCATCTAGCCCTGCGAAATAGTGCGAAACCCGAAATTCTGAGGACCTGGCCCTGCCGGCACAGCTGGCAGTCTTACCACACGGTCGCAATGACAAATTTTTGACATTAGCTATGACAGATCTTTCTCTTGATCCCTTCCCTGAATTTAGTCAAATGGGAGCCTTCATCGGCCCTGCAGTCGTCCGGCAATCCCTGACAGAGAGTGCCGACAGCCACCGCGATAAGCTTTATCGAACCAACGGCAGCGGTCGAACCATGGAGGTCACGCCACACTCTTGTAGGCTGGATGCTTCAATCGCAGGCCGGCACGGTACCTACACGGTGGAAGAGTACCCGTCCGCTCATCCGGGGAGGATACAGCTTCCGATTACCAGCCGCTTGAACTGGCGAACCCTTTGGGCGGATGGCCCCAGCAGTGTTTGCGATAACCCTGCCTGACTCTACGCGTGTCCACTGCGCTCACAGAGACGGCTGAGCTCTCTTGTGCATTGTCTGTTTGTAGTAACCCTTGAGAAGGGCTATTTTTGTCTTCGAAGGCATCAACTACTTCAAAACACGAGAGCTAGCTTCAAACCTCGGTTTCAGGATGAGTGCACATTGTTTGATTGTCAGCTTAGGTGTGACACCATACTATAGATGTATCAGCACGGCGCTGATCAGCTTGCATTCTGCACTGGTGATCGAATATACAAATTTCGACAGACAGATCCTCCACCAGGGTAGGTTCATTGTGGCACCAGCACCTATGCCCCTACTCGACTACCTATATCAGCATCAGGCTGCCTTCTCGCCATGCAGTTGGAGTAATAGACTATCAGGTACAAATTGGCTCGATGGAAGTACTCCCAAGCTGCAGCACCAGATTCTGATTATTCAGTCTTTCCGTTTCCGGCAAGAGTTCACCCTGCGGGTGGGGCGTGCTGCTGCCCGGTCGATCACCCATTCAACATTCTTCTTCTTGGGGTTTCCTCGGCTCTGGCTCGTGGATGGCGACCTCGCGCCACTACGAGTACGACAAACCACTAGCGATCTCTGTACATGTATGTGTACGAGTATAATGAAGGATCTGGCCTCAAAGTTGGGTCAAATTCAACGGTATACCGTTCTCGGACCCTAACCTTAACCAACCTCGTGGAACCGGGCTAGATCATGACGTCGGAAAAGCAAGAGCGCAGTCTCCAAGAAGGATCTACCGGCACTGCTCGGATTAGCATACGACTTTATATATATATACTTTATTGATCTCTCCGATCAGCCTTTACAGCAATTTCGGACGGAGTACCACGGAATTGCTTTTGTTGACCACAGCTTCAACTTGTGATACTCTTTTGTTCTCCTTGACAGAAGTTGGAAAATGGCTCATCCTAATGTCACTATCAATGAATAAAAGCTGATCATCGAAACCAAGGGTTGACCCCCGTGAATCCTTTGCATCATTGGAGGTGATCATGATGGATTGGTGGCTCTTCGACCAGCTTCCTCCTGATCAATAGGCTTGGCAAGTGGACCATACTCCAGCATAGATTCATAGTCCGGGATCTTTCGCGCCCAACCGCCAAACATCCCTGGCTCGTCATATGATCCGAATCACTTCACAGAAGGAATCCGCCCTTCGTTTTCGCAACTTGCTCATCATAGTAAGGTTGAAAAGCCAACCATCCTTTCTCCGGCCCCCCAACCTGCAAGGCCGCATAAGAAGCCTCCTCTTCGTCAATAATGATCTTCTCGTACCCCGCTGCGGATGCCGCATCGGCCAGGAGTTGAGCCTGGCAGGTTTTGTCCAGACTGATAAACCAGAATGCCGCTTCATCGACACTCTCCCCTACCGTCAGCAGGCCATGGTTCTGCAGAATCACCGCTTTTCCCCCACCCAAAGCGGCGACGATCCGCTGTCCCTCCTCCCGGTCTAGAACCACACCTTTGAAGTCCCGGTAGACGCCATGGCTCTTGTAGAACCGCAGTGCGTCCTGCGTGATCATCTCCAGCTCGCGGCCAAAGCACGAAAAGGCCTTGCCCGCGACGCTGTGGGCATGGCACGCGGCGTTCACATCCGGTCGGGCTTTGTGGATCTCCGAGTGGATGGCGAACGCGGGGGCGTTGATGGGCTCATCGCCTTCGACGACCAAGCCATCCTCGTCCACCAGTATCAGGTCGGAGACTTTGATGAGAGAGAAATGTGCGGAGAGGGGGTTGATCCCTACGGCGAGGTCCGGACACGTTAACGGTCTAAGACACATCCACACAAACCAAACCTCAAGCCGGGGGAAGTGGTCCTCAAAGCTTACAGAAATGATCGGTGAGAATAGGATCTCGGACGGAGATGTGGCCCGCCACACCCTCGTCGAAGCCACGATCCGCAAAAAGACGAAACGCCGCTGCCAGGTGCTGCTTCCGGTATACTCGCTCGTCCTCCAGGCTCTGGAATTTGGGGTATCGGCGCACTTTCAGATCCCTGCCATCCTTGGTCTTACCGAGGACCTGTAGCTGCGGTGGAATGTCGGATCTCTTGCCGGGTTTGTTCGCCTCGGGTTCAGGGTCCGCTGCAGTCACCGATGGAGCCATGATTCCGATCGTAGATAGAGTGTAATTCGAAGACTGTGATATCCAAAATCAATAAATAAAAGACAGGGATACGCCCACGAAAGTGGAAGATAGCAATAATTCGAGATCAATCCTGGAGAAACTCGGACACACATATACTCAACTTGTTCCTCCCTCGGTAAGAGTCGCTTCAGATCGAACTAGTTACCCCGCAAACCCGTCGACATTTCCACGCTTGGATTCAGGCTTTTCCGGTCCTCGATAGCACCCTGGATAAAAGGGATCAGCACCGTAAATCGACGCTCCTCGGTGGAATGAACACCGATGTAGACGCACACATACACACACACAAACACACACACACACTCTCTCTCTCTCTCTCTCTCCGCAAGTCACACGTGACTATCGTCAACTTGAAGGGACCTACCTGCCCTACCCAGCCAACCATGCTCAACGATATACCAAGTGAGACCCAAGTCCAGCGCGTTACCCAGCCGTACGGAAAGGGGGAAAGTCACCAAGAAAGCCCACCTCATCCTCATGAGGGGGGAAGATATCCGCTCTGGGCCCCCTGTTATAGTGAAAAAGTGTTGTGCTCACGCTCGGGGTCTGTTAGACCTTGACGGGCACGGGCAAGGGCAAGGTGGGCGATAGGCAAGGTACAGTACCTGGGTGAAGCGGGCGGCCTCCAGTTATCGATGCAGGAGGTCAGCTGTGGGTGTGTTCAGCTCAATTAGGGTTCTGGCAGTCATACCTAGTACTCTGTTGTTCAGGTGAGATTGCATAATACTAGTTATGGATAGTTAGTTACCGTTATTATCAGTGACTGGTAGCTGTAGAGGGGAAAGCAGGGAAACACAGCGGGTTTGAACGTGTAAGGGACTTCTGGGATGATGGTGGATGATGGCGGGGGCGATAGGTGGAGGGTGGGTAAGCGCGGGTTGAGATCGATGGTAGTGGAATACTATGTTCTGCAGCTTGACTTGCCTGGTATATATGCAGTGCGCATGTCAATCTTCCCATCCGGGCTGTATGTATGAGGTCGGTTCCAGGGTGCAGCGCATGGGCCATCAGAACTGCGCTACTGTATTTGTATGTCATATCTGATGGATTGGCTGGGGTCGGTGGGGATATATTCGAGCGCACTAGACTTGGACTCCACCCACACGTGCAGTACGGTAGTAGAGCGACTGTGCACAGATCCACCCTTTCCATCAGGGTGTACTGAGTCGGATAAGAGAACAGTTTCCCAAGAGATAGCGACCTAGCCAGTATGCAGACCGAGTGATACAAACTCGGATATGTGAGCGAATTGAGAGTATATTGACCCCATTTTTTGCCTATAGCCACCATCTACACATATAGATGAACCGATACAACTCTTAATCCCGAACATGGAACAAAAATAAACCCGAAGACAAGCCAATCCATACAGACATCTTACCCATCCATCCATCATTTATGAGGCAACCCTTGCCCAACGACAATTAACACCAGACTCGCATGCTCGAAAAAACAAAGACGCCCGATCCCAAATTTTGGTCCCCCCTCATTGCAGTGACGGATGCACAGTATCCCCCCAAATTTCAAACTCCTCTATCATAATCTTGCACGGTCACGACAACTCTCAAACCGACGACTGCTTGCTGCTCATACTTCCGACCATGGTTGTTGTCTCCGACCCTGCTGGGTCCGTGTTGGCGACGACTTTCGACCGCAGGGCGGCGCGGATCTCGTCGACGGAGCGTTCCTTCCACTCGTTGTAGCCGGAGGTGCTCAGAGGGAAGAGTACAAAGTTATCCTCGCGGACACCAAACTCGTCCAACTTGGGCGGGGGCATGGCGGAGATGATGTCGAGCTCGTTGGCGAGTTGGCGGCAGTAGGTCTCCAGGGGCAGATCATTGACGTCGTGTCCGAAGGGGTTCTCGATTTCGCTGCCGATGAAGGCAAGGCCGAGGATGATGTATGCGGCGACTGAAGTTGTGAGTTAGTAGAGTTTTGGATGTAGGCAAAATAGCATCAGTACACACCAATAGAGCCGGGAATGGTGATCCAGCCCAGGTAGTTGTACATCTGGAAGGGAAGAACCATGACATAGATCCAGGAGATCTGGGCGATAGAGATGGTGTATGCGGCGGGAAGAGGGGTATCGAGGACACGCTCCGTTCCGGTAAGACATTCGTTCAAGCTAGAGATACCGTTGACTTGCAGGGTATTAGCATGAAAGCATAGAATCACAAAAAAGGCGGGAAAGCGTACTGGCTTGACTTTGGTGAAGACCGCAGGTCAAGGTTCCGTTGCCAATGCAGCGGTCGATGTAGGCGGACAGGTGGTTCAGGATCTCCAGCGGCAGGTGTCCCAAAGGCTTCTTGGACCGCTTGATGAGCTTGCGTGGGTTGGACTCTGCAAACGAAACTCCCAGAGATTCACCGATCTCCTTCCAGACAGACTTCTTCGGGGGCTGCAGGACTTGACGGTCGTGTGCCTCTTTGGCGAAGGTGTCGAGGTGACCAATCAGGCCTGCCAGATCTTCGTAGCCGACATCAGGCTCGAAACGCAGCTTATGTTTGAGGGCGACGGCAAAGGCAAGGATGAGGTTGAAGGCCGTCCTACTAATGTTAGCATATGCATTCTTGACTTTGTAACCCGGGCAGCATACAGCTTCGCCAGCAGATCCTCTTTTCCTAGTTCTCCCTCACGCTCAGCTGTGTTTACCCAGATTGTCCGTGCGAGGTTGCGGGAGGTCTGGATCAGCAGTGCCCAGTATTTGCGGCCGTCCGCCCATCTGCCATGCTGTTAGACTTGTACTGTTGAACCGAGATCCAATTGGCCACTACTTACCTCTCATAGGCGGTAGAACTGCGGAATGAAAGCGCCAAACTGACCACGAAACCGGTGATTGTAAGCAGAATACTATTGATGCCAACTAATCACCCAACTATTAGAGACGCTCTTTCAGCACATTAACAGGGCGTACTCACGAGAATGTACGAAACGGGAGATGCAGGTGATAGCAGTAGCCCACAGGGCAACCAGAAACAGGGGAAGGATCATTTTGGGCATGATACTGCCGTGCATCCGGAAGGCGAGGGGCCATTTGGAGTGTCTGTCGAGATCACGGGGGCCATGCTATATATACACTGCAGTCAGCTTCCCAGCTTCACACGGGTCAGAGGTAGTCCATCACTGCATCGATGACATACAAAATATCGATTGAGTTCACTCGAATTGCGTCGGTCAAGCATGAATTGTCTGTCACGGGAATTGGCGAGATTTTCCAGGAAGCTGGGGCGTGGCGTCAAGCGGCCGGGCCGGAATGTTTTCTCTTGTACATTGGCGGAGGGTTCATTCTTTGCAGTTTGGACCGGCGCGATAGGAGGCTGCTCCTGGTGTCCTGCTTCTTCCGACATGGTTGCTGGAGGCGATGCACGATAGTGTGTAGTAGAGAATAATGGGAGGAACAAAGATGGTGAACAGTAGGAATTATACGGCTCGCACACAAAGGACCTGCCTTGGGAGAAGAACGACGAATTGGCTCCACAGAGAAACCGAAATCAGGAGACTAGTCAACTAGTTGAATTGACTATGGGAATTAATAGCGAGGGATGGAGTAAGGATACCACTCCGAAGATTGACGAAGTCAGGAGTGAGAAGAAGGAAGAAGATTTAGAAACGAAATCTGGGGGGGGGGGGGGAGGGGGTTTGGAGCTGAATCGACGCTTAATATGAGTTGAGGAACTACTCAAGTACTAAATTTAAGCGTTGGTCACACATTGGCTCTCGTCTGGAGCAAAGAAAAAATATTATAGGAAGAAACAAACGCAAATAGGGTGTATTCTGGACCATGGCCGAGAAGAAGTGTCAGTCAGTCAAGTACGTGTACGACTTGCGTACTCGTACAATACGGGGACTGTACCGCGTATCCTGTCTCCTCTTTTATTGCTGTACAGCCACTGCCGATGCAAATAAACAAAAAGTCAATGGAAGAAGTTCCCACAGACTCAAGAAGAAGTTCCGTGACAACAGTTGGAACGGGGCGGGGCATTGGCGAGGGCGATCGGCATCTGGCCGGAGGTACTCAAGTAGATTTGGTGGCCATTGGGAGATTTGCCAGTTGGCTCGCCCACGCCACGCGGGCCAAAACGTCACATCCGTTCACAGGTTCAGAACGGCTACTGCCGCCCCATCGCGCTGCTCGGTGTGATTTGTTGATTTGTTGGTTGTCAAAAGGCCAGACCGTCGGGTTTTTGAAACACTGGCTCACTGGCGGGCTGGCCAATTCAATTCTTCTGCTTCCCGTCTCCTGCGCCTCCTTCATCCGTCCTGTCACTATTCTCGTTGTGCACCGAGGAATTCTAAGAATTCCCTGTGCTACAGACTTACATATTCGCAGGAATTCAAGTGCTCTAGCTCATATTTCCACCATCTTCAGCCCTCTGGAAAGGCAATCATCGGGAGTGGCGGCAAAAACAACCCGAACCCGCAGCCATGGCTTGAAGTTTGCTGGGTTGGCTGTCATCCCTCCATTCCTGCATGCAGGGGCAAGCCTCGTAATATTTCCCCGAAAATAGGTTCCCTCCTACAGATAGACAATGAAACCGAGCTACATCGGTCCAATAATAACACGCCCTTGGCAATAACTTCGATACGGTGTACTCCGTGAGTTGAGTCCGGGACCCTTAAAAAATAGTAGCATCTAGCGTTCATGGGGAATTGGCTCGGAGGACGACCAATGCGTTCGTTGACTGTATGTACCAGGTAGGTTGGTCAAGTACTGATCTCTGCTGCATCTCAAGGGTTCCGTCTGTCTGGTACTATTGCGTCTTGGAAGAACTGAAAGAAAGTCTACTCCGTATCACACCTTACTCTGTATGAGAGAGTCTGAGGCGAGATAATGATAGATCAAATCAACTATCCTCTCACCCACATCAAACATCCGTTTCATCATCCCGTAAGCCTGCATGAAGTGGCTTGCGCCGTTCTCGTTGGTAAGCCCATGCCCATGCCCATGCCCATGCCATGCCCATGTCAGGCTTCGGGCGTCAGTCACTTACAGCACATCAGCCCCTGATTTTCCCTTCCCCCCCCCTTCTTTTTCTTGGGCTCTCCTTGCCAAGTCTCCCTGGATAGTTTAATTAACTTACCACACCACACACCACACACACCCTGCAAATATGACAGTCACGTTGTGCTGTTTTGTTTCATGTTTCGAGGTCTCGGTTCGATAGTTAACTAACGTGTTTGGTAAGCGAGTCGGCCATGTAAGCCAGTCGGCCACCCATGTATTACATATAAAATAGCTGATTTTCAAATCATATTATCTTCACC